AAAAAGAGACACGTTGCTCGCGCTGGGGATCCAGGTCGGCCAGAGGACCACGTCCCAGCACTCGAGGAGCCGTTGAAGGCAACGTAGCTCCTCCATCATGATGGATCAGGGGGCCCGAAGTCGTGTTCAGTTTCTGAATGAGCTGGGCCGTGACTGCCGAGTCCACGAGGAGGCTCACGTGTTGCCCACTGATCTTGTGCATGAAAGATTCGAGTGTTTTACGGACTGCCATCAGTTCCTTGAAATTGATGCGTTTTTCCTTGGGTCGTTGCAGGCCAGAAGCCGCGTGCAAGGAGAACTTTGGGCTTCGAGGAGAGAGGTGCTGAGGGCTCGCATCTCAATTCGGCCCCACAAGCAAATCGCTTGAGTCGGTGGCCAATTGAATTGCACCCGGCGGTCTTCAGATCGCCTTCCCTTTCCGGTGATCGAGGAGTAGGAGCCACTAGTGGAGGTTCTGCAGCGCTTGGGTATCGAGCCTCACCCAACTGTGCCAGGTACGCTTGGTTTTCAAACACACATAAAGCGCCTAGAGAAAGAATCGTGCTGGCCGAATTGCCAAGCCCACCGATTGAGCTAGGCCGCAGAATGAGGGGATTTTCCTTACTTGTACTCGGCCCTTGTTACGATTTGCTATAGTCGTCAAGGCCATTGCTTGGTTGCAAAGTCGAGCAACCTTGTCTGGGGGACTACAAATGAGCCATAGCTATGTCGACGATCAAACCCAAGTGCACTTTGGCCTGCGTGGGGATCCAAGAGGACTTCTCCTCGTCCGCTGTTATCCCCAGGTCGTTCAAAATTATGTGTCTCCCATTGGTCCAGCTGTGCAGTCATGCTTGATTGCTTGCGGCTCCCAGAATGTCGTCCAGGTAGCAGTAGGGGTCCCCAATTTTGGATCCAATATATCGAGATTGTAGACTTGGCTCAGGAAGGGAGTAACTTGAGAGCCACTTGGCGGGGAGAGCGGAGGAAGGCGATGATCGTCTGCATTACCTTTGTAAACACCATCGGGGCTCCTTGCCAACCGAATGGTAAAGTTGGGCATTCCCACAATTCCCCATCGATCCGAATGGTAAAGTACTGCAAATCCTGGGGATGGATCGGTATGTGGTGGTGGGAACCCTGTATGTTGAAGGACACCATCCAATCGTCACGCTTGAGGGAGCCCCGTAGTGTGTGCAAGGTCTCATAAGTCACTGATTGAGGGACACAATGGGTATTGATCTGTCGCAGGTCCACAATCAACAGTCATTTTCTGTTCGGCTTCGGCCAAAGAAACGCTGGGGAGACATGGCGACAGTGGGGAACTGGCCTGATGGCACCCGCCTTCAGGTAAATGTCGCACAGCTCCTCCCATGCACTGCGCTGCGCTGGGTCTAGGTTGTAAGCTGGCGCGCGGGACGGGGGAGGGGGAAAGTGCCGTCCTTCCATCTTATGCGTACCCCACCCGCGAGCCACGAGAGAATCCTTCGGTTGGCCCCGATCCGATGCCAGGCAGACAGGCTGGCTTGGACCTATTTGTATAAGAAGTCCTGGGGGTTCACCTTAAGGCAGTGGTCCTGGTACTGCTCCTTGGTCAGTTGGCATTGGTGCCATTCGTGGCAAGCCTGTGATGTGCAGCAAGGAAGGGCCCTTGGCCCGGCGGGCAGCATCAGAGCGTGAACGCATGCTGCCAAACTTGAACCCGCCCATGGGGCCCAGTGTGGTCCAGTCATGGTGAAGGTCATGCTGGAAACGTAGTCAAGGCGCTGCTAGCGATCGGCGATTTCCCGCCAAAGTTTAAGGAGCACGAATTCAAAAATCGCCGCCCGTACCATGCGCGGGGCTTGCCCCCGATCCGAGCTATCCAGCTCCTGAAAAAGTGTCACGGCCGCCAAATACACCACTGTGCCCGCAACGACCCCGGTCTCTGCTGGCAAAAGGATGGTCCCAGCCATGGGAAGAGCAGTTATCCGAGGCACGACAAGCGTCCGCCTTGGTTTGTTGCTTGACGATTGCCTGGCTCAAGCTCTTGCAGTATTGATCGACCGCATCACGCACTGTTGAGGACGTGAAGTGCATGTCCAAAGCGTCCAGCCGATGGCTTAATTGGGCAACCTTCCAGACACCGGCCGCATCTGTACCTGCGAAGTTGGCGTGCAAACGGTGCATGTCCAGATGGCCCACGCTTTGATGGGTGATGTACTCAAGGCCAGCGGCGATGGGGCCAAAGGGCTGGCGGGCGTCTCCTGAAAGGGCTGGGTGCACGGTGATCTTCAAGAGGTGCGCAGTGAGGTCAACCAGCACGGAGACGATAGGGGCCCAAGTGCCATATTCCAGATAGGATCCGCTGCCTCCACCAAGAACCTGACAAATCTTTTGTCCCTGCGAAATGCCAGCGACATCGAAAGCCTCATGCCAGCAGCGTTGGCCGAAAGGACTGGGCACAGGGTTGAGATCCAAGCGCGGGATGTGCTCGTGTCTTGAGACGGGGGGGGCGTTGAGCCTCGTTGGAGGGCCCTCCGTACAGAATTCCTGGCACAGGCGTAGCAGATGGTCCGCCGCGGCTCCTGCTCCGGTGTAAGATTCGCAGGGGCCTCCGATTGCAGGTTAGCAGCGGCAAGGATCCTCTCGGTTCGATCTAGGCGTTGCAGCAGTTGTTACAAACCCGCCATTGATGGGAACACCGACAAATTGTTGGGCAGCCACAGTGCTCCGAAGCGTTCTAGGGTTACACGCGTCTCCGACGCGCCCGAGTGCAGACCGTGTTGCCATGAGGCAACAAAAAAAAGTTGACGCTCAGTCAATAGGGAAAAAAAGGCCAAATAACACTTTTGAGAACACACATAAAACACATTTAATCAAAGTTCTGCACGCCAAGAATACAGAATTAACACAAACCCATAAACTTTGTACACATTTGAACACGTGTTATTTGGCCCTTTTTTCCTAGTGACTGGCGCACATCCCCTTTTGGCTCCTTTGTCAGTGTGTCCAGAAGCTGGACCACAAAATCCAGGTCCAATTTGGTTGTCCAGTCACCACTGCGCGTCCTCCCGCCTGGTACTCAGTTGCCGAGTTCAATTTGTCCCATAATATTAAGAGAAGCGCCGTCTCCCATTCACATCCCAATCTGGCGCTTCCCACCCTGCGCCATCCTAGATGTAAACGCTCTGACTACGCTAACGCTGCAAGATTAAATAGAATTTTTGTGCAGCGACGTTTAAGAAAATGAGCAACTCTCTGAAAAAGAAAAATGTGGAGGAAAAAGCTTAAAGGTAAAATTTTTGACGCGGAAGGGCTGAATGCTCTCTGGCACTGTCCCATTTGACAGAAGGTGAGGTAGGTGTCCATCACTGCAGCCCTTTGTCACACCAGAGCCACTAACGCCCAGGGTTGTCAGCATGAGCGCTCCTCGCCGTCGTTCATTGGGAGGCCGCGGTGGCAGCAGGGCAAACGATGTCTGAAAATTTTCAGACTTTAAAGCTGTTGGAGGCCGGTCTGAGTCGGGCCCTGGCCGGCGTGGTGAGCAAGGGCGACGGCCAACCGATCAACACGATGCGGCTTGCAGGGCAGGTCCCTGGGGAGCATCAGCAAGCAGAATCGCGCCTGCTAATGGAAAAGCCACAATCATGCCTGATCATACCAGCACAGAAACTCAAACCTCAACAAGTTTGTGGTGCGGAATGGGGCAGGTGGCATTTCGCAGCAGGCGCCGTTTGAATGATGGGACAATGCAGGCTCATGCGGGTCGGCGTTGCTGCCTGAGCAGGCAGCAGCTGAGTGGAAGCCGGATGATGGGCGGAAGCCGGTGGCGATGCGTGCACATGCGCACACATCGCCAGCGGCTTCCGCTCAAGCAAATGATCGTTGAGGGAGTAAGCAGGGGGTTAACAACAGTACTTGTTCATGCAGGTCGCCATAAGGGTACCATGACGTGGAAGAGTGAATGCAGCTGTCGTTGGGGGTTGGGGAGTGGGGGGGGAGAATCTGCGTAGAAATGAACGAATGTTGACACCCAACAAATACTTGCTGGGAATTAAGCCCAGCATCGCCTACAAGGTGCCAGGGCTGTGTTTTGTCAAGTTTTTTTGACAAATGTAATTCTCAAGGATTTGAGTTGTCGTTGTGGTCTTCAGGCAAACCGAAGCCAATGGTGCCAGCGTGGTCTGAGAGTCTGCTTGAACTTGAGTTGCTGCGCGGGCTGGCACTCCAAGACAATCGGTTTAAAATTGACAGATTGCGCTCTCCCCTTCAACAGCGGCAGCGCTCAAATGTCAAATTACAATGGGGGAGAGCCCCCAAGGGTTTGCCACCTCCGGCGGAGGAGGACGCGAAAATAGGGCCGACCAGCACGGAGAGCTGTGCTGCGACCAGATAATACTTTATCCATACGGCGCCCTCAAGGCTTGCTCAAGCAACGTTAGGTCCCAAGCCATCACTTAGATCCATCCCAAAGCCATCGTTGGGCCCTAATACCAGGAATAGGGACGAATGTCCGTCTGTTCTCTCCAGCCAGTCCACCACTCGTTCACTGCAACCAATGGACACTCCCATCGACTTCGGATTGCCTTCCAGAACACGGCTCAACCGACCCCTGCCGCTTCCGTCCAGCTGTCTCCCAGCGCCCTTTCAGGTTCGCTGCCGTTGCGGGGCGCCGACCTTCACAGCGGCGCCCATGGGCGCGAATCCTTGACACTGCCCCCAGCCTGCCCGCCACGCCGCACCGGGGGCGCAGGGCGCGCCATAGGCACAACAAAAACGACCGTCTACTGCTACAACACAGCCGACAAAGCCTAAAAAACGCTGCAATACTCTACACGGGATGAATTGTGCCCCAGCGCACGGGGGCCCCAAGGGCCAGGCCCAATCTTCCCGCAGGCAGCAGTGGTCCGGGACCGCTAGAAACATTCTTGCTTTCCCTCGCTCTGCCATTAGGAGATCTCCCGGCCACCAGATTCCGTGTGCTGCCACCATGTTGACCCATTTGCCGCCGCCCCAGGGCCGCTGATGGTGTGCCTTCGCTATTGCGTGCCGTTGGACGCGGCTGCCTGCACCAGCGCCCGGAGGTTTGGGTTGATTGCGACCTGGCTGGCGTAGGGGGAGCCGGCTGGTGGGCTGAGGGCCAGGCTCCGCATGACCTTCAGCTTTCGACAGATGGTGCCGCTGGGCGCATCCTTCCGATGCCGCTCAGCCGCACCGCCTGCAGGTTCGTCCGATTTCCGCTTGGTGGTCTTGCCCTGTCCAGGCCAAACAGATACATTATTTAATTCTTTTCTTGAAAGTTGTGCATTCTTTGAAACTTTCAAAGGCGAGTAAAAAAAAAGAGCAAGATGAGACAGAAAAGAAATGCTGAGGAAAGAGTATGGGGCAGTTTCAAACGGTATGACAACTGGAGGTGCGTCCAGGGCCCTTCCTGGGCACCAATTCAGGCAGCTTGCTGAAATCGGTTGGCGCCATGATCTGTGACAGCTTCTGTTGGTGTGTCCACTGCAACATTGTGTAACATTATGTGATGCAACAATACGCGACTTTGCAGTCTTGACAGCACATCAGGAGAGGATACTCTTGTCTGGTTATATTGGCTCTTTTTGTTAAGAATGCATCCACATCTGTTCTAATAGCCCGGGCCTCTGGCACTTCAGAACTAGTGCCAGGACTCCTCTCACAAAAGGACAGACACAACAATAACAATGCAATTCCAGTTTCCCTGGGACGGAGGACTCCCATTGGGGATGAAACCCTCAATTTTCACAAGGCTTCCAACATCTCAATGGCTTTGGACTTGCATTTCAACTCATGTCCTGTGTCATGAATTAAGGGTCGTGGGGTGACATTCCAACTGTAAGGGGTTATGGTACACACCAGATGGTTTATATGGGTGACTAAGGTGTCCCAAGCCGGCACGAGTTCCTCAACACCCACAGAAAAGCTTGTCAGAACCAAAAAGCGGCAGAACATTCACTGAGCCGCCAGATCCACTCCTTATGGCACATACCCATCAGCAACTTTTGTGCTACTCCAAATAACTCACTGCAGTTCGGTGATCTGTTCGTGCCCAGACATCGCCCGATGAGGTGCGAGGCCTTGTTTCTGTGCAGATGTAACAAACTGGATACCATGAGTACCCCACACACAACCAGCCTCAGCATTGCCAAACCCAAACGCATGTAACTTAACCAATCAACTCATGAACCCCAACTTCCAGCATACCTTGACGGCCTTGGCCTTGGCCTTGGGCTTGGTCCTGACCTCTGTTTGCGCCTCATGACTCATCGCATCCTCAAAACCCCTGGGCAAGTGCCCAGTCTTCTGGAAGATCAGCGCCTCCTGAACACCCTTGAAGAACCCTGCGCCCTCCCCCTCCGCCCGCCGATCGTCAAAATCCTGGTCGAAGGGTGATAGGTTCCTCTGTGCCTCGATCCAGGCGAAGTCGTAGGTGCCAAAGAAGCGCACGGGCACCGCCCCATGGCGTGGGCATGCACGGGAGTCCACAGGGATGAAAGGGTTGGACTCGTCGATGACCTGCGCTGGCCACCAGCAGAAGCTGCGGGAAAGCGCAGACGGCTTGTCAGCAGGCACGTGATGAAAGGCATCCAAGCACTCCTGTCTTTTCCGCAGCTGGTGCATGCCAAACCCAAAGTCCAGACTGCTAGAAAGAGCATCTGGCAAGAAGACAGGCATAAAACGTTTTTGTGCGGCACTGCGTTTGAGCAACAGCAAAAAAAAGTTGCACATGGCACAACCCTCCCAAATGCAATAGTCTGCTGCCTCTGTGTCTCCCAAATTGCCGCTGATCGGCAAGGGAATATCCACTCCATTGAGGTGTAACAGGGGCACTGAAACTTGGTCAAACACCGCTTTGGCCGATTGATACAACCTCACATGGTTTGCATCACCCAATGCACACTACACTGCCAATAGAGCAACTACATTTCTTATCAGCATTTTATCAGCGATAGCTGGCAGCACAGTGCCCCATACGCAGTCCCATGCACTGGGTTATGCACAGTGCTTTGTTTCCTTGCAGAGCATCTTCTGCACCAGTGGCAGGAAATCTCAAAGACAGCTTTCAATCACAGCGGACTGGATCTTCAGTCAATTGGATACTGCACCATTCTTGTTGTGCGACAGTCCCATCCAAGCACTCTCTACAAACTGGACTGCCAGACATGCTGTGGTTGTTCCTGACAAAACTGGACACACCTTGGACAGCACCATGATTGCCTAGTTCAGTCCATTGTGGTCTTCATAGTCACTGCACCACTATGATGTTAAACCTCTCCTTCTTTGCCCCCCCATGCAAGAAACAGCAACAGAATACACAACTCACCTGCTCATCCTGGCCCAGACAACCTGCCCTGCCCACTCCTTCGGCTTGATCTGCAAACGGCGGCCAGGCTTCAGGCCCAACATCGCCTGGCAGGGTATGGGCCTCAACGGAACATCCCCCCACAAGGCATCTTCATCGGTTCCTGCATCGTTTGCTTGGCCACCCACTTCCTTTGCCTCCTCAACAACTTTCATGGGGCTCGAACCCGCAGCTGTCGCAGCGTTCTCCCCAACAGGACCCTCCCCATTGATCGTGGTGGCCTCATTGCCTGGGCCAGCTGCCACCTGTGGCCGCACAGGTTCTCTGAGCGATTCTGGCAAAGACTGCCAGTTGACCTGTGGCAGCACAGGGCTTGGCCGCACATCAGCCACCTGCGGCCCCACAAGCTCCCCTTGCACCTGCGCAGTGTTGCGTTCAGGTGCAGCACTCTTGGCAGCCGGTGCCTGCAGCGGTACGGCGCGCCCCGATGGGCGCGGCGACAGTGGGTCGCTCTGGCCAATTCGATGGACGGGGTCGGGGCGGGGCCCAAGAGCAGCATGGGGAGGACAGGAGGCTGCGAGCGCCTGAAGAGGCTCCATGTAGACTTCCTTGGGGCGCTGAATGGCCTGAACAGCGCCGACCTGCCTGGGCTGCCACACCACCTGCTGCAACCTGCAGGGCAATGCCTGAGGAAGACTCTGCGGTGGCGCCTGGTGGTGCGCAAGGGCAACCGCCTGGGGCAGCCCCTGGGCCAATGTGTGTGAGAGCCCACGGGGCACCTCTTGATGTGACATGTGCGCCATTGTCTGCGGCGACATGTGGGCCAATGCCTGTGGCGACACCAGAGGCGATGTGTGGGCCAGCTTCTGGGGCATCCCTTCAGCGGGCACCGCATGCGCCAGTGTCCGGGGCAGTGCTTGAGGCGGGGTGTGCGCCAGCTTCGCTGACAGAGCTTGCGGCGTTGCACGGGCAAGTCCATGGGGCAGCAGCACTTGAGGCAGCGTATGCGGGGATGCCTGCTGCGCCGCATGCGCCTTTGGCACCCCCAAGCCTTCCAGGACCTGGGCCCCAACCTTGTAGGGCGCCCCGCCCATCTGCTGCTGCAACTTCAAGACAGGCAGCCCATGGCTGGTGGCGTGCCCCTGGGCCCCCACCAGGTTCATCTGGCTTACCCACCCTGGCCTCAGCGCCTTGAGGGGCATCGTGTAGCCGTTCATGCCCATAGGGTAGACGGACTGCCCGTTGTTGAGCAGGGACAGGGAAGTGAGGCCCGAGTTGAGGGCAACGTAGCCGGAGCTGGCGGCAGGTGGTGCGGAGTTCGGGCCATGCCCGGCCAGCATTCCCTGGAGCTGCGGGGCTGACGAGGCCATTCGGCCGTCCTGACTGCCGGCAGCGGGAACAGTGGATGGCGGTGCATTGATGAGCCCCCGGGTGGGGAGGGCCTGCTGGGTTGCGAGCGTCTGGCCGGGGGCGCCGTGGCTCAGGTGCATGGGGCTGTCCTCGATGTGGTGGGCTTCCCGGAGTTGCTGCAGGCCTGCGGGCGCGAAGGCCGAGAGCAGTTAGGGGATGACCAGGGGTCAGGGAGGACCAAGCTGAGTCCCAAAAGGGACTTGGGTGTGGAACGTGAGGGGGAGCAATCGGATCGACTGGGAGCGGCGGAGAGCGGCGGGAGCGCGGTAGGCAGCAGGGGCCGCATGCACAGCAGCAGCTGGAGGATGGTGCCTCCAGTCCCCGGCTGGAGCTCGGCAGATAAAGCCAGTCGTCCGACAGCGCAGACACCGGCGCTGACGCGCGAGGGCGCGCCCCCGCCGGCCGCAGCCTCCCCCGCCGCCGGAGGCGCGCATCAAGGCTCCGACCCCGCTGCGGCCCGGCCATGCCGATCCCACCCAGATGGGTCGTCCTGCGCCGGCAGGCCCCGGACCGGAGCCCAAAATGAAGCCCCTTCCCCCCGCCCATCTCCCCAACCCCAATCGCGCCTTGTTCTGGGCCATCACCCCGAGACAAGCGCAATCAAATCATCCCCTTCCTTCCCCAACACCGCTTGGACGTCCGGCGCCTTCCCTCCAACCGCCGCCCCCCGGGCCCCCACCCCAAAGGGGTTCCTGTTTTAACCGCGGCATCTTTTGGAGTCCGCAGATCGCCGCACAGGCGGGCGGGAGGCCGAGAGGCGGCGGAGGGCCGGCTGGGCCGGCCGTCGGCGCCCGGACGTCGGACGCCCAGTCGAGCAGAGGCCCCAGCGCCGGGGGCCCAGGGACGGTGATTGCCGCATTCGATGCCGCAGAGGCGGGATTTCAATGAAGGGCTGAGGGCCTGAGGGCCGGCGGGGCAAAACGCCCGCCGGGGAGTGGGAAAGGGGCGCCTGCGGCTGGTCCGGTCCCGCGGGGTGTCTGGCCCGGGCGGACGACCGGGCGCCGGGGGGGATGCGCGCGGCGGATTGACCCCACGAGGGCCCGGAAGCGGTCCTCTGGGGGTTCCCGACCGAGAGCGGGGCCAAGGGCGCGGGGCTGCGCGGCGGGGAGGCGCATCCAGCTCTCCGGAACGCCGGGACGGCGCACCGCCCGGGCGGTTCCCCGGGCGTCCCGCCCCGATGGGCACCGCATCAGCGGCGCGGGGATCCCGACATCGGTGGCCGAGACCGCAGGAGGCACCCGGCGCGGCGCGGGGGGGGGGCGGTGGGGGGGACGGGGAGGGGGGCAATCTGCGGGCCGATCCCCACCTGGCAGGGGCTCCTTGCCGCCGGCCCAGGGCTTCAGCCGTGCGGGCAGCGGGTCCATGGCGCCCTGGTGCGCCGGCGTGACTCCAGCGGCAGCCGAGGGAGGTTGGTCGGGGCGGGGGAGTCGCGCGCGGGCGCCCGGCGCCGATTGCAGCTGGCCGCTGTGGCCCCAGGCGCTTTGGGGGCGGAGGCCGCCAGCCCGTAGGGGGATTGGTGTTCGTAATACGGTGCCACGGCGGAAACGGACCGCCCCACAAGGCGGGGGGAGGGGTACAGAAGAATACGGAACCGTACTTTTCCCTGGGGGGGGGGGACGTACGGAAGAATACAGACCTGCACTTCAAGGGGGGAGAGAGGGCCGTACGGAAGAGTGCGGAGACGTGCGGAACCGTATTTGGTAGGGGGGAGGGGCGTACGGAAGAGTATAGGCGTCCCGCGCCCCAAAATTCTGTTCTTTGGGCGGGGGGGCGTACGGAAGAGTACGGAACCGTGCTTTTTGTTTGGTGGCGGTGGTGGAAGGGGTGGGTGGGGGGGAGTGGCCGTAGTTTGGGAACCGCAGATAACGGGCCACAATGACGCCCGGCATCATCATCACCACCATCACCATTCATTCATTTACAAGGGAGTGAGGTAGCCGTCAGCTTCCTGTTTTGACCGAGCAAAGCAGTGTCCATGATCATTTCATTGAAATCGAAAGGTGGCGCCCGTCACTCCCCCGGAGCCAGCGCAGTCCGGCTCACCCCACGTCCAGCCAAATAAATTGGGCTGTTTGCGGTGGGCTTTGTGTCATGAAGTTACTGCTCCTTTCTTTTCCTTTTTCTTTTGTGTCAGAGGCCTTTGACCTGAATGGCCTTGATGGCTGGCAACTTCAGCAGTATCCACTCCGGTTGCCCCGCTTTGGGAGAACATGAGTGGTTTGCTTTTGGACATCGTTCTCGACGGCCGCACATTGGGGGCGCATAGGTTAGGAATCCGCCCTTGGGCATCAGCTTCTAGAGCCGTACTTTGGGGCAGCGCCTCAAGGAGTCGTAATTTGGGCCCCGCAGGTCGGACCTTCAGCTTGGGGTCTGAACTTTTGGATCCGTAATTTGGGACACGCAGGTAGTCTCTCGTACTTTATGATTCGTACTTGAGGAGGATGCACGCTGCGCCGTCCGCTTCAGTGCACGTACCTCGGGTGGAGTGGCGTTGAATATTGGACCACGTACCGCCCGGGGGGGATGTACTGCGGGCGCACTTTGTCGCGAAACTGGGGTCGACAGTAGAGTGATCGATTCGGAGGCCATCCCACATCACGCGCCCCAAGCCCCCCGCGAGCGGCCATTCGGGCACAGCGCCATTCGCTGCCCACCCGCAGCAGTCCCGCCGAAAAACGGCAGAGCCCTCAAACGCCAACGGCGTGCAGCACAATGGCGAGACCCCGCACTGATGCCTGTTAGGTAGTGATGCACGCATGCCGTGTGCGGAATACGTGTCCCCTTGGGGACGACCGTGGTTATCGTTGAGACCCTTCTCGTCTGCATCTCGACTGCATTCGAATGTGACGGCAGCGCCATCGCCAGGAGGCAATTCGGCGCCTGAGGGCACCGACGCCTCAAAGAGTTTGTCTGGCGAGTCCGCCATCGCTCAAATCTCCTGCCCGCTGTCACTGGCACAAGCCCCTCAGAAATGCGGTGGCATGCTGTGTCGAAACTGGTGAACGGGCGCGCGCCCCCCACGCGGGCCCAAGGTCATTCTCCGAGTGTCGGAACGTGGTTCGAGAACACAGACGGGCTCGGAGGGAAGGGGCCGACGGGCAACGCATTCAAATTAATGTCTGCCAACACCATCCATTGACACTTGAGGACCATGAACTAATAACTGACGACCAGCAAATCTCGAAATGACGACTGAAGATTGACGACCTCGAGTCGACGAACGCAGAGCAACGACTGGCGACTTGAGGCGTGCCTCGCGGTGGGCAACCACACGCGCACTTCCCACCTGGCCGGCAGCCCCCAATCGCCACAACCGCCTCCTCCAGCCAGCGGACCGGGCTAGTCCAGCCTGCCGGCACCCACTCTGCGACGCACGCATCCCCGGGCTACAAATGCCAACTTGAAGTTGAGTATCCCCGGCGCCCTTGCCCCAATCACGGTCGGCAACCCACTGGCACGACCGCACGAACGAATTTCCACACGGGCAAGCCCACCCCCGCGGCCACGAACCGACCAAAGCTCCCGCCGGGCCATCCCGCACACATGCCAAAACGCCAGCGGAGACGCTTTGCCTTTAATTCCTTGGCTCGTGCACCCCGACCCAGCCAGCCGATCCCATCCCAAATCTCGCCAGGACGCAATCAGGCCCGACTGGATCACACCCCGCGCGGCTCTCGGCGCCTCCTAGCTAGATCCGATCTCACACTCAGGCGGCCATCGTTCCATCGGCTTTCATGCCCCACCCCCCCAGCCTGTTGTCCCGGAGGTATGTATCCTATTCCAGGCGTTGGCCCGCTGCAGCCGGGCGCTCATGCCTCGCAGATCTTGGCCGTCTCGTTGGCGAACATTTGGTTGGCCACTCTGGTGTCCTCGCAGCCGATGACGCTGACAGCGGGCCCGCGGGTGAGGATGCGTACGCACTCGGGGTTCAGGATCTCGGCGGAGTTGAACGACTCCCGCTTGCAGGTCTCGATTGTCTCGCGCCGGCAGGCCTCGTCCAGGGCGGCCCTCAGCTGCTCTGAGAGACAGACAGGCGCACCGTTCGTCCGCTTGCTCCAGCTTAAGCGTTTAAAACATTTGGGACAAAAATCGCAGAAGCAAGTACTCCACAAAACATAGAGTCGTTTACCGCCTTTTCCCAGTTGTGTGTTGTTTCCGCTGGTCGTCGCCTTCACGAAATTTTAGGCAGTATTGACGAAGGCAGGCAGGGTCAAGGGATGGCGACCCTGAACGGAGACCATAGGCTCGACTTCACGGCAACGGTTTACAGCCGAGCAAAGGGACAGCAGGAGTTCTCTACTCCCTATATCCAGGCCGTTCATCCATGTCCTTTAATGCACTCCCTAAAGCCTCATGACTTCTTTGTGCGTCCAGCTGTGAATAATACTCAATCAGTTCCAGTTAAAAGAGTGCGACGATATGCTCAGATGTTCTGTACGGTGTGCGTCCAGCTGTTAATAATACTCAATCAATTCCAGTTCCAAGAGTGCGACGATATGCTCAGATGTTCTGTACGGTTTGATGATATGATGAAACATTATGTAGGCATGTGTGGATGGACGGGACGCTATGTACAGGCGTGAATGTGTGGAGTGGACAGAAACACTGCATGTCCGCGGATGACCTGCTGTGAGATTGCGACCTTGCTTTGACCGCTGTGCACGGCTCCATGCCTGGCACCTCTCCACGCCCTCGACAAGTTCTGCAACTTAGCCAGAATGTCGCTTGGCCAAACTGTCACTGAACTGGCAAGAAGAGAAACGCCAGCATTTCTGTTCTCATATTTCGTTGCCGGATACTCGCTCACTGATAGCCGTTTTTGTTTTTGTTCCACACTGCGCGTTTCCACTCATCGTCATCGTTGTGACAATTTTAGGCAACAAGGCAAGGAGGCAGTCGTCAGCATTTCCGCCGCAGTTCCATGTTGCTCGATATTCTCTCCATGTTGGCTGTTATCGTTTTTGTTCCACGTTGTGTCTTGCATTGGAAAGTTCATTCGGCGCCGTATCTCTTGGTGTGCATCTGCGGTGGCAAACCGCCTGGCACAGCGCTACAAGCACTGCTCAAAATACAGCATTGCAAACTTTAACACGTAAATATGAATGAATAAATAGGAGAATGATGTAATTCTCTGTTAAACTAGAACAAAGGAAATCACAGACTGACTTTCTCCTCGTCCATTCTTGGGAATAAATACCTAGCACCTGGGAAAACACATTCCAGGCAACAAAATTGACACTCAAGGGCAGCACAGTACCGCAAATCGCAATGTTCTAATAGCCCATCACTGTGCATCCGGGGATTGCAGCCATCCCCGCTCGTCTATGCAGGGGAACCAGCAGTTCCTCTGGGCACTCACCCACGGCGGGAAGGGGGGGGTCGTTGTCGGCCAGGTTGAGTGGCGCCACGTTGTCACTGGCGTCAGCAGGCGGCACAGGGCAGTTGTTCGTGACGACAAGGCAGGAGGCGCTGGCTGCAGCTCCAGCAGCGAGGGACCCCGTGTTGCGGCATTCCTCAATGAAAGCTGCTCCACGCCAGTCAATCAGCCAAAATTAGTCAAGCTATCAATCAGTCGATCGACCAATCAACTGACCAAGTGAAGAAGCAAGCAGCCAGGCGAAGTGGCAATGGGCCAAAGTTTCAGCTCCTCGCATGGCGATCATCAGAGAAGCAGGAAGCCCCATGGGCCCCAGGGCACCTCCTCCAGGCAAGGAAATGAAAGCTTGGAACTCCATGCACCCACGCTCGGTACAGTCGTAGGCATTTGGGCAAAGAACTAAAAGGGGGGCAATGTTGTCCTGCCATTTTGTCAACACAAACATGTGCCTTACTACCAAGTGCACTGTTGCCACTAGTCCCAATATCGGTGGTACCAATTTAACTACTAGTTACTAATACCAGCACTGCCAATCCCAATGTTCATACAAATGCTATGAGTACTTGTGTCAAGGCCCCCCAGCCAGATTCTGGGTGGCAGGGCAGGTGGGTACCAACAGGCAGCGGCTGCCGGCAGCCACCTGGCCTGCATTTTCTAGGAGCCTGCCTCTCCCAGGTTAGGACTAGGACTTCCTGCCCTTCTAGGCTGGCGCCTCGTTTGGCAAACCAGGCAAGCTGCAAAGCTAGTTTAGCTGGCAAGGAGGGTTGGGGCCAGCATGGACACCAACCCTGGGCAACATTGACCCGTCGTTCAACCTTGGCGCCTCAATTCTGGGCTGCATTTGTCTCGGTCCACCTTACCAAAAATTTCTTCAGTGGTCATCGGTGGAGAGTCGGTATCGTCTTCTTCCGGCGGAGGCGGGGTCTCATCAATATCAGTCGACACATTGACCGACGCCGGTGCCATTGCAGGTGCAGCCGCTGGGGACGTTGCAGGCACAATTGCCAGAGGTGTTTCCATGCTGGGTGGTGTTTCCATGCTGGGTGGTGTTTCCATGCTGGGTGGTGTTTCCATGCTGGGAGGTGTTTCCATGCTGGGAGGTGGATCTGAAGGTTCTGAACCGGTAGTGCCAGCCACCACAGTCAGGTTGCACATCCCACCTCGCCACCTGTATCCCCTGCAACCTGTGTCATCACAGCAGCCACCATGCACACTCACATCTCTGCTCCCTAGCCCTGTCCCCGCCTTCAATCTTGGGTGGCCCATACAAAACCCTTTCAAGGCATGGTGCTCGCCGCCATGAATGGCCACAGGATTTAGGAACAGAGATGGACAGGCAGCACATTCTAGCATTGTAACTCCATGCAATCAGATGAATATCACTGCAAAATCTCACACCAGCCATTGCGATTTGCCACTCGTTGATCTGCCAGGGCATCCTGGTGTGCCAAACTTCTCTATTTGAGACCGTACATGTGCAGTTTCTTCCTTCACTAAATAACACCTTGGCTAAGAGTCCATGTGCCAACCCATGAACTGTGGAATCGCTTTCATGCAGTCATTCATTCCAGGCTGTGCATCGCCTTGCTAAATTCCTTTGATGAATCTGCCTTAATAACACACAGCAACTTCAAACTGCATGTCGCTTTGCACTTTCTTGCGACCTGGCGTAAGGAACACATCTTCACTGTTGGGAAGGGGGCAGCAACCAGACATCTAAATGTGACTTTCAAGGCTGGAGATGTATTCAGATAGTGTGATCTTGTCAGCACGGAACATAGGCACAATGCCCCAATTTGGTTCTCTGTGCAGTGTACTCCACACACTACTCCATACAGCAACACAGGCACACCCACACCTGCAGGCAGCACAGCTTTCTGCACCAGATACAACATTGCAGGTTGCGAAGCGTTGGCGTTTCACGGGAACAGATGCACACTGCTATGTACTGCTGAACTGCCTTGCTGTCTGACGCACACCAGGGATGAACGTCATGCCCCACATCTCCGGCTGTTCTTCATTTTTTGGCCCAAGGGCACCCTGTGATAGTGCCCATTTCTGTGGTTCTGTGGTTCTGTGGTTCTGTGGGATCATACCCCACTGACTGGCAATTGGCATCCTCAAATATTGCTCACACAGGTTGCTACCTGTGTCAGCAGCGGCACACCCTGATCACAGGGCAAAACCCCAAATCACTCTAGTTTGCAGTCCATGCAGCTGTGGTCCATTTGCTGCAATCATAGGCCTTTGAATAGTGTTGGCTTGTGGCTCAGGGCACATCAACTACTTGGGAGACTGCGATTTGAGAAAAAAGACTGCAACAGCGGGGATAGGAGAGACCTTCTCTTTTCTGCTGCATTCAGACACCCTTGAAGAAGAGAAGCGCAACGAGGCAGTTGTACATATCATGGTGCGAACACGTGGGCGATTTCTTCATCTGCTTCCAAAGGCTTTCAAGGCTTGCAAGGGCCGAAAGGTAGGCCTGCTTGCCATGAGACGGGGGGCGATCCGCATCATCACGATTGGGCTGGGAATGTACACTGACAGGCGAACAGCCATGGCATCATATCCTGCTGCAAAGCAGGGTGTTGGTGCGCGTGTCATGTTGCACAATGAAATCCACAAACACGCCATCCATACTGCGGCACACCCTCCAAAGCACAACCGTTGGGAGCGCGTGCTCTGCGGCCCTGCACGCCCCAAACCCGCCAGCAGCGGACCCAAAGCAAAGAAACCCCACCAAGGCAACAGAGCCAGGCGCGCCAATGGGCCCAAGATTCGCCGCCAAGCCGATAAAGGAAACATAATCAACATAAGCCATGAATGAACGATGCGTAAACAGCGCCAGTTGCCCGGGGAATGCTTGCCTTCCTGTTCTGTGCAGAGGTCCGCGCAGTCGGCGGGCCCCGACGCCTCGAAGGGCCCCAGCGACTCCACGTTGTCCAGCACGTTGATCTGCATCAGGTCCCGCGCCGCCGCGCAGCCCTGACGAGGTCAGCGCAAAAGAAGCAAAAGTCAACAACCTCGCTCGGAATCCCGTGCCCGGACATCGGCGGCAAGTGGAGGCATCGCGGCGCACCACCGGGGGCGGCGGACAGATCCACCCGCGGCGCGTCCCCACGGCCAAAGGCGGGGGCCGAAATTGGGAAGTCGGAAATTCGCCCCCAAGTTCACGGCAGGGCACGAGGGATGCCGTTGCCGCGGCGGGAGGAGAGGGAGGGCGGGCAGGGGCCGAATGGGACTTTCTTTTCGTCGACTCTGATCGCTCACCAGCAGGGCGATGGCCAGGGCGGCCAGGATGTTCCAGGCGCGGTCGCCGCGCGCCGGGGCGGCCATCTGCGGTGCACAGGCGGCGGCGTCAGTCGTCCGACGGTTGGCGGGCATGTACCTGCGCCCGCGCGACAGAGGTACCCCAAAAGGGGGCGCCAGAAAGCCAGGGAACAAACGACGCACGCAGAAGGGGGCCCAAAGGCGGAGCTCCCTCGCAATGATTTTCACTCTCTCAAGGAGGGGCCGCAGCACGCAGACCAGCGCCGGGCGCCGCGCGGCGGTCGTATGGCGGCAGCCCTGGGAGAAAATCCAACTCAGGGGAAGCGGGAGGCCGCGGCGAGGCAAGGGGATCCCCGGGAGGGACGGTGGCAAAGGACTGGCGAGCGGCACAGCGATCGGCCCGAAAAACATTACCCGATTGGCAGCGGGGGCCTACCTCGGCGGCAAGGAAAAGTGAGACGGCACGGGGGGGCCGGCCGCGCAGGGGTGGCTTTCGACTTTGTCTGGGGCGGCGGGGGATGCGATTCGAGGCGCCGAGCGGCCCTTGGCGCGATTCGAGAGGGCTGGAGGGGCCGGAGGAGGGGCGCAAAGGCGGAGGCCCGCGTGCGGCAGCGGCGGGGAGGCGCGGGGTGCGGGGGCGGCGACGGGTTCGAGCTTCAAGCCCACTTGGCCCCGATCCTCAGGGCGAGCGTGAACTTGAGTGGACCGGGGGGGGAGGTTGACGTCATCGGGGCCGGCCGCCAATAGGTGAGGCAATATACTGCAGGAGGGCGCTGCTGACGTCATGGGGCTGGCCGCGGGGTAATGTACTGGGGGGCTCTGTCCTCTTTCTTCCTGCGGAGGGGCGCTTTGACAGGACTGTGACAGGACTGCTGTGACGGGGGCTTCCCCGTCGGGCCCTGCAAGAGTGGCAATGGGAGCATCTTTGGGGTAATTTATTCTTCGTGTGCTGGCCCCGCTGGCTCGGCGCTGAGAGGGATGCGCATCTCGGCAAGCGCGGCCGTCGTGCTGTGTTGAGTCAAACCGTTCAAATCAGATTGTTGAAATCACCTCAAATCAAGGTCATTTACGCATCGGCCGTTGATGAAAAAACCAACTAAAAAAGGTTGGAAAGAGAACAAAAAGGGGCGATTTCATAACACAGGGGAAGAAGTTCGAAGTGGAGAAACCGCTGGATAAAAACTGCGTTAATTAGGACCAGAGTTTTAGACTTTTCCCATCAGGAAACCATGGTCAGGTCGTGGCAGCGCCATGGCTGGGGCATGCCGACGCCATGGCACAAGTGTGACTAAACGATGTGTGAACTACTGGGAAGGACACGGGACCTGCTTTACAAGGTGTTACCAAGTACAAGGACTAGCGACCATCGCCAAAATGTCACATTTGTCCACCCTGGCGGCGTGGACAGTGTCCCATGATGAGCTGTCCGACTGAGACTGCCTCTACATCTGGCCCAAGAATTGATTCCCAACATTCTAGAGCCTGATCTGCATCGCAGCGTGCACAGCAGTGCACGGTGCCCATCGCAGTCGCACCGCCTGCTTGCGGTCAGACACGGTGTCCCAAGATGGTGTGTACGGGCTATCGGAGCTTGGAGCGGTGGCAGACATCGCTCACGGAGTGGGTGCAAACAGGAAATGTCCGACTCTAGCACAGGAGCTTGTGCCCCGTGGATGACAGTGCCGCTTTTGGAATGTGGAGGCGACCCCTTGGAGCTTCGGATCATAAGTGGTTGATTCGGGAGTGGCATCACTCGCTTCGGGCATCCCAGCAAGAGGACGTGATTTGCAGGCTGGGAGTTGGACAGGAAAGGGAGAACTCTAGCGAAGGCCAGGGCTCGATGTCGCGCCGAGGTCCATCATCAGGAGCGTACTGAGCGATGGCAAAGGCAGGAAATACGGCAGCGAGAGGACGATGATATGATGTCGGAGACTGCGGAGCTAAAGACATACGATTGACTGACAAGGAGTTACTGAAACGTTCAGTCAGGAATGGGATAGCGTCATGGTAACGTAGGATTGATCCTCGGGCAGGCAGGACTAGAAGTGACTGACTGTTGATGAGTGGTCAGGGTCGGAGCGTGACGGCGCCATGGTTGGGGCGTAGCCAGGCCGTGTTTGGGGCGTGCCGATGCCATGGTACAGGGTAGGATCAAGGGGTGATCTGATCCATGACAGGCGCACTATGATGTGTATTGGAGGGAAAAGAGCCTTTTCTTAGTCGGAGTTGTACTGGGGAACGTTGGGAACAGTACCAGCGACAATAACGATGTACTGATGCACTGGTTTTAATACAAATACGAGGCGCTCCATGGTGAGCGGGAGCCTCACCAAGTCAAGTTGATTCCTGTCTGATCCGTGTGCCTCTGGTCGTGCTGTTTCCCGTGTCGATGCCAGCCTGCCTCCGCCCCTCTCGCGAAAGCACTGCCCCAGTCGGTCGGGGCTTCGTGTCGACTTCCCATCGCCGGCAGCGTCGCATTGGGCGGAGGAGCATCCGGTGGAGCTTGCCTTCCACCCCAGAGGGCCTGACAGGGCGCGGAGGCAAGCTCCGTTAACGATCAATTCTACTCGGTCGGACATTCGGTTGGTTGCAACCAACTGGTCTTACCAATTGACAAGACTGCGCTGGCTTTGAAGGAGTGACGTGGTTGGTTATGGCACGCTGCTTTCAAGAAAGTGTGAAACCGTGTATTGGGGGGGTGTGATTGGCCTGATATGCTTTTGAGGATCCCTCACTCAAGTTCCCGAACCTAGCAGGCTAGCAAGCACACAGTGGTTGGGCAGGTGAACATTTTCACTAGCGCTTTGGTGTTGCCTGAACGCATAATGTAGCGCGGACAACTTTTCTTGCATGGGACGCTGTTTGATTTGAGCGCATTTGTAGAACGCCCTCGGCGGCGCCATTGTGCTGCATCGACATTTGTCCATCGTGGGTGCGTAGCGCCTCTCTGAACGCTACTTTGACGCCATGGCGCGCAGCAGAATCGGCAAGCACCTCATTTTTGGCAGTGTAATGATGGCAATTCGGGCGCAGCGTTTTGTGGCGGCCGGCATCAGCTGAAGTACTGGCACCTGCATGCTTCTTCTGTGGTGTTGTAAGTGTGAATGCCACAGATTCATTGGGCCCATGCAGTTTAGGTAAGTGCTGAAGTGGCATCGGGGATGTGGGCGTATCCGTCATCATCTGCAAAGTGCCCACTTTGTCTGTCGATAGAAAATACAAAAGGAAGGAATTCAATAGATGTGTAGTGGGTACGGGCCATGGCGAGAGACGTGCAGTGAGTTGTCATAATATTAATACCATCCTCAATGGCCGTGCTGCCATTCGGGATGATGTAGATCAGATGAGGTATGTTGCGGGGATTTTGTGAAGTCCCCTGGGAGGCGGAGTTTACAGGTAGCTGCCAGTTCTATGATACCCTTTCTGTGTGATCGACGCTTCATCAATGATGGCCGAATGGGCCGGGAAAGCTCACAGCTTTTGCGCAGCAGCGGTGGAGCGTGGTCCCTGGCTCAACGAGGAGCAAACATGTGGAGAGGTGGTGCACCGCAGCTCCTCATTGGAATGTCTGCTCAGCTGCGTTCAGGCACTGTTGGCACAATCATTGAAGCTTCGCAACATGGACGCATCGTCATTGCTGCGGCGTTCTTCCGCTGCGCTCATCAATGAATGACACTGCTGCATCATCCACCCAACGCTCTGCTGGCTCATCGATTCGTGAAGTGTTTCCTGTGCGAAATTATTCTGGCACCATTCTTCTGCGCACCCTTTGATTTGCGGCCCAACTCCCAGTATTGCCGCAGCAATTCAGTGGCACATGGAAACCACGTCGTGCTTGACCTCAAAACCGCGTGGCGTGTATCACCACAGGTTCGAAATTGCGTTACGCCAAGCCAGCGCCACGATGAGCCGGGTCTAGAGCGACATGCTTTCTGGGTCAAAGGTGGGTTGGAAGCGGCTGCATTGCACAGCCTGCGCTAGCCATCCCACCCTCCTCAAGCCGTTGTCAGCTGCCATGGATCTACCCGCGACTCCTGGGGCGCCTGCCCAGGTCTCGACTGCCGGTTCGCCAGTGGCAGAACTAGAGTAATTCGTTGCATTTGATTTGTCAGTGTCCCATAGCATTAATGCTATTTACCAGAGGAGGTTACGATCCGCTGCTTCGTACCGACGACCCGGATAGCACCGGTTTGGCTTCATCCGGCGGCAACAGTGAAGCACACAGTACTGCGTGACCGACTTTTTGGTACGACGTCGGACTGAAAGACGAACCCGTTTCGTCCCGTGCTGTGGAAGGCTGCGGACGGCAAGTCAGGCCGACGCAGTGGTCGGCCAACGATTCTAAGGATGCCATAAATCCTCGAATCTCGATTTTCGCTCGTTTCCAACCGCGGGGTTTTCGGCGCGGGTGCACGTGTGCAGGGCGCGACGTGCACCGTTCACGCGAGCTTTTGGTGCTAAGTGCTTTCTTGCCATGCCGCGTCACTTCTGACCTTGGCGGTTTGGTTGCTCACCGGCCGGCCCGTCGGAACGCGACCACCGTCTTGCCTCCTTCGCCACTGATCCGCAAACCCATATAGGTGTGCGATGTGGTTGATGTGGACCTGATCCGTTCCGGGCCCGGTCGAAATGACCGGCGAATCCAAAATCCTGCGCCACGGTCCCACACGCACACAGCACGGTGGGCAACCAACGACGAACCGCACGTTGGCAACGCAAGGGACGGAGCCGCGGCAAGAAGGTGTGTAGGCGCAGCATAGGCAACCCCCAACACGAACGAAGGACGTGCAGGTACCGTAAAGCACCGCCGGTCGGTGCGGTGCGGTCTGTTTCTTTCACATCCTTTCGCCCCAGCAGAACTGATTGTTGCAATCCGCCTTCACCCTGGCAAGTATATTGTTGGAGACTGGACGTAGCCACTGGCACTGTGCAGGCCGGCAGCTCCCCACGAAGGCCGGCACTTATTGGTGTGCCTCACTGCTCCCAGCACTGAATTGGACGTGACAATGTGGGAATCCTCGAGCCGAACATCCCTGACCTGGCCACCCCAGATTGCCGCTTGCGGT